GGCGGTAGTCCCCCTGTCCCCCAGTGGGCTTAGTTTAAAGTTTTAAATAAACATCCTAAATTTCAGTCCTGAAGAAATAGGTAGCAACTCACAAAGCTAAGTAATTTGATGGAACGGGGCCATTATTATACTTAAGCATTAGATTTTTAATAGTAACTTACCTATTTCTGAAAACAATGAAAATGTATTGGACACTATTTTAACAAAATAGCTTTGGTATAGAGTTGCCTTTTTTAAACTCATTTTTTTTTTTTTTGCTATTTTTTGAAACCGTATCACAGCATTTACCTTCTTATTTTTGTTTCTTCTAAAGACCTTGTGGGGACAGTAATGACCGCACGTTTCCGATTGCCTGCTGGCAGAACCTACAATGTACGAGCGTCTGAGCTGGCACGAGACAGGCAGCATACAGAGGTGGTTTGCAATATACTTCTCCTGGATAACACTGTACAAGCTTTCAGAGTTAATGTAAGTACAAGATTGTATTTCATTCAGTAAGAATTTCACCTTTTGTCTCCCTTAGATTGTGTACATGTATTTGTTTGCTTCTTTCCACACAACTTTAATGGTCATAACTTTGACCTAGCAGCCAAGATGTGGAAAATGTTGACTCAAACAAGATAACTGATAAAGGTTGATATTATAGTCAAACATGCTTGCACATGGAAATCTCTGTTTGCAGGCTGTGCGCGCAGAGTTGCAACAGGAATAATCTCTCCTTGTTTAGGCCAACAGTTAGTTATTTGCATTTTGATCATGTGTCCTTAATTTGTTATTTCCTGCTCTCTTGATGCCATATATAATGTTTAGTTTAGATATTTTTAATCATATTTGGTGTGTTATTTAATTTCTTTTTGAATGCTATCAGAATGATTTCTTTGCTCCCTTTGCTTTCCTCAAATTGTACTGTATTTTGTTCCTTTGTTTTCTAGCTGTCTTAAGTATGCCAACCTAGTTACAAACTTTTCAGAAAAGTAGGAATGAAGAACAGTGGTACTTCACCTACCAAATATATGGTCAGTCTTATCGGTAAAATTGAGTGTTATAATGGAATCAGTTGTTGAGTATTTGAAAGGCATGAGTTTGGTAGACATGCGTATGTTAAAAAGGTTTATATCAAGCAAATCTAATGACCTTTCAAGCTACAATTACTGAAATAGTAGATAAAAATGAAGCTGTGTACATGTGCATGCGTGTGGGTGTATATATATTTATTTATTTAAACCTCAAACCATTTTATATATATTTATTTAGACCTCAAACTATCTTTAGCAAAGACCTTTGCACAATTAAAGTGAAAGTCACGAAGTGAAAGCTAAAGTACTGTCATAAGCTTAGGAACTTGCAAGAGAGAGAAGAAAAAATTATTTGTAGCATAGCAGAAGGTTAACAGTGGGGTTCCTTCAAGGGCTTGGTGTTCAATATGTATTAATTATCTAGGTCCCAGTGGGGTGGTAAAATTTACAGGTAGCATGAAGACTAGAAACAGGCAGAATTTCTGAGTCGTCCAGGAAGGAATAACATGATGGCAGGAAAGAAAGGGACCTTAGCCTCAGCAGCTGAGAGAAGGATGAAGTGGAGCTGGAGAAGAGCTGCACTCTTGTGAACCTAACTCATACTTGATTGCTTTTCTCTGTTGAAATAACATTTTAGGGAGTTCTAAGCAGAGCAATATTTGGCTTTGAAATAAAAACAGCTGTTCATTTTAGCACCTGGGAAATTATTTGGGATAAAACAGGAAAATCATGAACTGACTGAATATTTTGTTTAAAGTATAGCATAAAAACTTAATTTTAATCTCAGAAATCAAATGGCAATAAATCATCTCCATCTTAAATAACCATTTAGACTAATTTTTTTTATAAAATAAACTCTATTTTAAAGTTTTTTTCATTTTGTGTACTTTTAGAATAAAAATAAGCTATCAGCACTATATTTCTGCTGCTAATCAAGGGAGAATAGTAACAGTTCAGTATAACGTGCAAAGAGCTGCCACAGTCAGAGGGCAGAGGAAACATACTTCCCAGGACAAACAGATTTAGTTTTAATATTATATGCTGGTTAGTTCTCTCTTAGAATTAATTTTAACAACTAAGCATGAGGATTTACTGGTAATGGCCAGAGCCCAGGCACAGTAGCAGCAAATTTTGTGCAAGTTTCTTCTCTCAGCTCTTCCAGTCCCCCAAAATCCTGACTTGTGGCAGCCTATAGGTCTATAAGCACAGACTGCTACTCGAGCAGTCACAAAGCTGAGCCATTTTGTATAAAGGTGAATGCTAGATTAGTGAAAAGGACGCCATGGAACATGGATCATAGATCAGGGCAGTCCAGCCGGTGACTTTACAGTAACGTGGCTTCTAAGAGGTTAGCCTGTGGCCCCTGAGTTCCCACCCTGTGCTACTCACCTTGTTCTCCAGCTGCAGCTGCCACTGTGGAAGTCCCTGGGCTCTTCTTACCTCCTCCAGCTTCCACTGCCTGTCTGTGTCACTGTGGGTGCAGTGGGATGGCCTGTTGGGCTGAGGGAGCCCACAGCCAGGGTTGTCAGGAGGACCCAGGTACCTTGTATGATTTCATAAATTTTGTAGACATTAGGGGTGGAAGGGACCTTGCAAGATCATCGGGTCCAGTCCCCTGCCCAAGGGGCAGGAAGTCAGCTGGGGTTAGATGACTCCAGCAAGATAAGCATCCAAATGCAATGTGAACATGTCCAGACTAGGTGCTTGCACCACTTTGGGGGGAGTCTTCAGGAACCTCACCCAAGCGCCATGAGTTTTGAAATATCCATACCAATGGCCAAGCTAAGGAGTAAGCCAACTCTTAGCATTCTTGGGTACATTTCATCAGGACTCATTAACTTATGGATGTCCAGCCTCTCAAGGTGCTCCCTCACAATGTCTTCGCCGGATCTAGGCATATGGTCACTATACCCTTGTAGTCCAGTGTCCTGTCAGGCAGGGTGGTGATTCCCCTTGGGCTGGTGGAAAACTGACGCAAAGTAATCATTGAGGAGATTAACTTTTTCCTGTGAGTCGGTTGTCAGCTGCCCCAATTGATTCAGCAGGGGTCTAGTGTTGCCCTTATTTTTCTTTTGACTTCCTATGCATCTGAAAAAGGACTTGTTATTGTCTTTGATTCCAGTAGCCAGCCTGAGTTTTTGGTTTTGGCCTTGGCTTTTTTGGTCCGTTCCATACAGGTGTGGGCCAGTGATGCATAGTCCTGCTGAGAGGTGTTACCCATTTTCCAAGTCTTATAGGCTTCTTGCTTAAGATTAAAGAGGTCCATGAGATCCCTATTTAGCCTTTTACGCCTTTTCCTGTGGGCTGGAATGCATTTCCCTTAAGCTGTTAGGATTGCATCCTTAAGGAGCGACCACTTGTCTTGGACTCTCTTCCCTGTCAGATCATGATCTTTTAGGGCCTCGACAACCAACCTTCTGAGCTTCTGAAACTCAGCTTTCCTGAAGTCAAGGATTTCTGCATTGCTGACTGATTTTTGCAAGCTTTGCGATGTATAAAGGTGATCAACTCATGATCACTATTTCCAAGCTTCCCTTCAATCCTCAGGCCACTCACTAGATTGCATGTTTTTTTAATACCTTCCACTTCCATCCCATATCCTGAAGCCGTCTTATGCCATTAGAGGACCTAAGAGTTGTTCCCCTTAATATTTATAACTATGGAAAGGAAAGTGTAGAGATTTCTTGTCCAGCAGAATCCTAGAGCAGGCTAATTGTGGGTGGGAGTGTTGCATGCCTCCTTTCAGTCAAGGGGTTGACTGGCCACAACACTCAGGTTTTTACCTTTTCTCTGAACAGGTGATGAGCAAAATGTTTTCTTGACCCCTCAAAGCCAATGGTACTATTCTCATGTAATAGTTCCTTGGGGAAGATACAAGCTACTACTGCATCCCTTAAGCAGAGTAAAAACTTTCTGGATATGTTCTCTGGCAGTTTTATCAAAGCAGGAGAGGGTAAATACTGTCCTCTAATTATTTTGTAGGTCTCAAATACTTGAGCCTGATGTTGGAGAGCATCTCTTGTGTTGAATGTTTCACTTTACCCTTGGGTGCTCTTAGTCCCCCAAGGGTGAGTGAGAGAACCTCCTTTACAGATCTTTCTAACTGTAGTTTTTGCAATTTCCTGGTATCTGCTGTTAAGGTTTTCCTGTTCTTGTCCTCCAAAGTTAGGTAGATGCATCTTTCTGATGGTCATTAGGTTTGATGTATATTTTTATCCTTTTTTTCTCTTATTCTTGGACAAAGTAGCTGAACAGGTTTACACATTAATAACTTAAGAATGGAGGTATTAATATTTTACTCGCTGGGTTTTTTGTTTTCTTTTTTTAAAGAAAAGTTATCCCTAAACTGCTTTTAAGGAGAAATATAGCAGACTTGTGTTTTATGCAACTCCCATTAGCTGAAAAATGGTAATCAACATAGTATTACAAATGACATCCTAGTGATTTCTTTCATAATGGAAAATGCTTAGTTCTTTGTGCTAAGGTTTGTGGGTCTGTTACACTGGCTACTTCCAATTGCTTGCAGAGGGCAAGACCACATCTGTCAGTCATTTGGCATCAGGGGAGTGCTCTTCTCTCCAACCTTCTTTCCACATTTTATTTTGTCCTGACAGGCAGCCATATTCAACTAGAGACCTTCCTGTTGCAGAGGATTTTCTGAGGAACATTCACATTTTATTTAGGCTAGCAGTTTGATTCAGTAATTTTGTCTAATTCCTAGCTGTGTCCCCACAGGTGCATTGAGTTTTTGGGGACACTGTCTATGAAGCTTTGCTTCTTCTCTTGAAGTGGCTGGTGCCCCTACTTGCCTGTATAAAGCTTTAAAAAGCAGTTTCCTGCTTTACCTCCTTACTCAGTTGGTCGCATTTGAGAGTTCAGCCAGCTCTTTGGGAAGAAATCAATACCCTTTACTAGGAATGGTGGAGATTCTTTTTTTGCATCTTGGTGTGCAGAGGACACCATGACTGCTTGCAGACATTTAACTAAACTCCCTGAAATGCCTCTTTACTTTAAACTCAGTGTGCTTCTGCGCTGAGCCCGGCACACGCCCAGTAGAGCCCTGATTGAATCAGCTGTTAGATGAAAGCTCCAAAAAGCCCTGCAGACATGCCTGATTTATATGGATGCTGCCTAGTCAGGTCAAAGTAATGCGCTGCTGCTTTTAGTAAAGAGTATTATTTGGTGGTTGTTTTTTTTAATGTCTGCAAGCAGCCCATGTGTCTGTTGGGATACTTGTAAGTAAAGATGATGACTCTTGTCCTTCTTTGGAGGCACACTTGAAAATCCTCTTGGGTAATGGATCTGTGGATCTTACTGTGAAGAAAAGAAAAACTTTGTGCTTACCCAAAGTTTTCCTTTCTTTTAATAAGATCCACAGAACTGGGTCATCCAGAATAGAATTGATTCTTGGCATATTTAAAGGCTTGGGGTTATCGTCAAGTTTAAATTGTT